ATATTTGTTTACACATTTTGCTTAGAAAAATGTAAAGATTCAAACATAAAAAGAATACAAAATTAAAATTCTGTTGCTTAAATTCTTATTAAATCAACTAGAATTTTAAAATGATGGCAGTTCGGATGCTGTTTAACCGTGTCTACAAGCCCCAAGAAGGTTTCCAATGTTTTTAGACCATTTAAGAGACTCGATTGTTTATAATCTTGAAATTTTGAAACTATTCTGATTATTCAGGCATACAGGGTCACTTAAACAAACTGATGGACATATAACTATTGGAAATGTTCAGCAAAGAATTAAAGTGATTTGCAAGGTGGGGGAACTAAATGAACTGATCGTTTCCACAAAAAAAAATTTGTTTCAGAATGTGATTCCTTGATTAAAAAGAGACACAAATTTTTTTTTGGATGTAAAGGAACTGGGCAGTTCCAGTGTCTAATCATACTTTTGGCTAAGAAACACAAACGTACACCTCCTTGACAGTGAAAAATTATCAAAAAACGCTTTAAAGGGACTGGAAGAGACTAGTTTCTCATATGGAGCAAGATTCATTCATGTTTTATCATGTACAGCTATACCAACATCTGCATACTTAAGCAACAAGACACAGAAAATGAAAACTCATGAACTAAACCATGAAATCAATGGTTGCTGTCATTTTTCCATTACCAGAAAGGATATCCATGATTAATGATTAATGATTTGTAATAATCATCTGAAAAATTCCAAACAAATTTTCACCTTCAAGTGATTTAAAATACACCACCCTGGTGATTTGTACAATATTCAAAAGTAATATTTTCTTCCTATATTCTTTCAAACTTGAGCTCTTTTAAAGAAAAGCTTAAAATAAAACCTGTCAGAACTAGTGTACCGGGCAGAAACCCAATGCGGATTATATTTACACCGTACCATCAAAAGTCTTATGGATAGACCAAGATTTTTCCAGCATAAGTATGAAGGTATGAAGCTTGATAAGTCAACTGAGCTTCGCTCAGCATAAGTTTGAAGGTGTAAAACTAGCGAGTCAGCTGAGCTTCGCTCAGCATAAGCTTGAAGGTCTAAAGCTAAACGAACATTCTTTAAAAGTTTTTAAAAAATTTTTTTTATCCATAGATGAATTTTTTAAAAATCACAGTCAACTTTTGTTTTAAAAAACTCGTAAGAAAGGAAAGTTTTTTGCTTTTTCTAAAGCAACGGCTGTTCCTACCTTGTTCAAAAACAATACAGCTCTTCTATAGAGCAGCACGGATCAAATGTAAAAAACTAGAAGTCTCTACGATGTCTCGTTATTGAGATTTCTTGCTGTTTAACTTGCTTGCTTGCTTGTTTGCTTACAGAAAGCGTATTTTGCGATTTTCTCAGCAATCCCACAACCAATTTAAAATCCGTTTTTTGAAAATGATGTAAAATTTCAGGCACAAACTTTTCTTCGTGGACCTTTTAAAACCAGTTTTGCTTCGTTTTCCTAAAAAATGATATTTCAATCTGAACAAAACCAATATATTCACACGTGAAAACGGTGTGAATATAAAAAAATTTTATATCCTAAAATAGATTTTATATTCACATCGTATTCACTTTATTTTTGTTCAGCTTGAAAAACAGTTTTTCACATTTTGAGGAAAAAAAGCAAATGGGCAAAAACAGAATTTAAATTGGCTGTAGCATTGATGGAAAAATCGTATAATACGTAAGCAAACAAGCATCAAGGCAAGTAAATCAGCAAAAATCTCAATAACGAGGCATCTTAGAGACTTCTTATTCTTGCATTTGGTTTTTGCTGCGTTAAAAAGGATAAGGCTTTATTTTTTTATTGGGTAAGGTAGAAACAGCCATTGCTTCCAAAAAAGCAAAAAACCCTGCATCCTCTATCCTGCATCACGTGAACTCAAATTTTGCCAATGACAAAAATGATAAAAACCTGATTTATTAGTTCCGCACGTTTTAAATTTTGAAAGACTTCATTTCAAAACTATTTGCAAAAACAAAAAATTGAAAATTTTGTGTGAATATGATTTCTTGAGTGAATAGATCTTTGATACATTAAACATCTAGGCTCTAGGCTTTTAGAAAATTTACAAAAGGCATAAAAAACCAAGTTTTCAACTTAAACATTCAAACAATATTTATGTTTTCTTCTTATTTAATTTTTTGAAATAATAAAATTGACAAATTAATAAGTGAGATTGTTTTTGGATGAAAATCCTATTAGATAATAAATCCACTTAATAATACAAGTGGAATTATTATCCACTATGACAAAAAAGTTTTTGGATTTGATTTAATCCATAATTTTAATCGTGTTCCATAAAGATAATAATCCCACTTAGAAATGAAAGTGAAATTATTATCCTTCCGAGAAGATAATAATCCCACCTACATTTACATTTCTAAGTGGGAATATTATCCCGCAGGATCGTGGAATTAATATCTTTCGGGGGCAAAAGTCCTTCGAATAATTAAAATTGAGCTTTCAATGTTTCTTTATGGGCATCAATTGCAATCAATTTTTTTTTTTTTTTTGTAAAATAAGTATTTATTATAAAACGAACAATTTTTAAATCTCATCAACAAATTTGTGCTTCTGTCATAGCTCAAAGCTTCAGTGTAGACACAAAAAATCCTACAAGCTTTTGCGAGTTTTCGTTTGATTTTCTTTAATAAAGTAGTAAATCTTTTGTGAAACCTGTTGAATAGAATAATCATTTTATAATAGCTAGTTTTGTATAAAGCAGGATAGATCAATAACAATAATAATATCGCACTTTTTTGTGCGACAATTTTCAAGTTTTTTTATCCATTCAATGCTGTATGACAGGTCTTAAAAGTTGGGTATAGGTAGGGTGACCATCTGCGTAGTTTTACAACGGACAGTCCTGTATTTCAAAACCCTGTCCTGTATAAATTTGAAAACTTTGTTCCAGGTCCTGTATTTTTTCCACGAAAATTTCCGTTAATTTTCGAATTTTACTCTATGTCCTGTATTTTTCGAAAAAATTTACCAAAAGTCCTGTATTTTCATGAAAATTAGATGGTAACCCTAGGTATAGGTGAATTTTCAGTTTTTTGATTGGACCCAATTAGTGCATCAACTACTCAACCAAATGAAAAACGGTTTTATGCAAAGAGCATAGAGCGATCTCTGGATGTAATGAGACCCCAATTTAGAAATATGGAAGTTTATACTACAGTAGCGCTCAAAAGTATCGGACCACATATAAAAAAACACAATTTTCTCATTTAAAATGTTTTTGTTGCATCTAGAACGCTGAATTTTTTATATTATTTAATATTTTCTAACGCAAAAAATAAATTTCAAAGAAATATGCGCTCAAAAGTATCGGACCACATTCGAATTTTTAAAAAAAAAATTGTTTTAAGGACTAGAAAAAGCTCAAACAAAAAATTTTATTGATATTTCGTTGCATAGCCTATTGCGGCTATAACTGCTTTGCAACGACTAGGCATCGAATCCACCAATTTGATGATAACATCCAATGGAATATTTTGCCAACACTCATTGATGTTATTAAATAATTCTTCTTTATTCCGTGGTCTGTTGCCTTTCATTTTACGATCTATATGCTCCCAAAGGTGCTCAATAGGATTGAGATCAGGACTCTGAGATGGCCATTCCAACAAACGATTTTTTTTGTTCTTGAAGGATTTCGCTGTATGCTTAGGATCATTATCCTGCTGAAATATCCATCCCCGTGGCATCTTGTCTTTAGCAAAAGGCAGCATTTTATTGGCGATGATGTCCTTATAGACCACTTGATCCATTATTCTATTTATGCGATGAATCGGACCAACCATATCACGACTAAACGCACCCCACACCATAACTGAACCGCCACCATGTTTTACAGTTGGCAACTGATATTTTGGATTGAATCTCTGACTTTCTGGACGACGAACATACTTCATACCATCGCTCTCAAACACCATAAAGTTTGATTCATCAGACCAAAGAACTTTTGACCACTCTTTGGATGTCCAATTTAAATGATCCTTCGCGAATTTTAATCGGGCTTTCCTATTCTTCACAGAGATTAATGGCTTCTTCGCAGGACGTCGTCCACACAGTCCAGCCTTGCATAAACGACGTTTCGTAGTAGAAACACTGCATTTTACAGCATGTTCTTTTTGTAATGTTTCATTAAGTTCGACTGCTGTCTTGCGAGGATCCCTTTTTGACATTCTTACGAGGATTTTGTCATCTCTTTCTGTCGTTATTTTAGGCCTTCCACTTCTTGGGTTATTTTGGACATTATTTCTCTCTCTAAAGCGCTTGAGAAGATTAGTTACCGACATCTTGCTTACGTCAAAAAGTGTTGCAACTTTTCTATGTGATTTCTTCTCTTGTACAGCACGAATAATCAATTTTCTGACGTTTTCTGATATCTCCTTTATCTTAACCATTCTTAAAATAATGTTAACTTGTATTTAAATATAGTTAAATTAATACTTACTTGATTTCTAAAGTAAATAAAAGAATTTTTTTTTAAAAAATTCGAATCTGGTCCGATACTTTTGAGCGCATATTTTTTTGAAATTTATTTTTTGCGTTAGAAAATATTAAATAATATAAGTAGCAAGATTCGTTTTTTAATATATTATGGTAAAATACGTATTTGATAAAAAATTCAGCGTTCTAGATGCAACAAAAACATTTTAAATGAGAAAATTGTGTTTTTTTATATGTGGTCCGATACTTTTGAGCGCTACTGTATTTAATAAATGTAAAATTAATAGGATAGATTTTACTTCAGGTAATTTGCGTCTATCACGAACTTTTAAAGAGTAATTTGACACTAATTTTTCATTTGTTTATCTGAAAATCAAATAATACTATCCATACAATCCATATGGCAACAATAGTGGGTTACGAAGGTTAATGAAATTAATTAAGAATAAGTTATGATGTATCTGTAAGAAAAACATGCAAAACATTTAATGAATAAAATCGCATTCTGCTTTTGAATTTTTTCAAAGGTTTTTACTTTTTATTTGTTAATCACTTTTCTTGAAATTTTGGGATTTGATTAAAAGTAAAATATCTATAATGCAACTTTGTTTTGCTTTATGTAAAGCAAGTATTGTTATCTAAATGTAAAGTTTACTTCGCGCATACTTGTCGCTTAAAATAAATTAGTTTATCAGTCTACATCATTTAATAGTTTTTTTTTTCATTTTGTTGATGTTTTATCTCATTTTCATGGATAATTCCTCATCCATAATACATATTTTACGTAATAATATTAAGTTCAATTAATTTGAAAACATATTCATAACTTTTCCTGCAAAAATTACTTTGTGTTTTGGATTCTTTTCTCGTTTCAAATTTGTTACTTTATAAAATTAATCTCGCGTTGCTCTTTTTTAATCAATTATAACTTTTTTACTAACTGATATTTGAATGGCTTATTACTACTTTCTAGATAACTCCTTACGTTTCATTTCATTTGTACTTATGTACGAAATTATAATCATTTTTGTTAATTATTTTTGTGATGAATTTTCAAAATAACTGAAAGCTAATTCACATGTAGCCACCTATCTCTTCTTTGAATGATAAGCGCTGACTGTTTTTTTTTTTATTACTAACCATATTTTTTAAGAAGACTTTTGCTTGCGGTTTATAGAAAATTAAATTCAGAACGGTTCAGAATTTGTTTAGTGCGTATGACTATTATGGTTTATGTTGTTATCTTTTACTACAAAGCATGCAGTTTAAGATAATCCCGTTGCTCATATCTATTCCATATGTGAATATATATTGCTGCATTGTTTAAGAAAACTCGTCAACAAACATACTACCACCAAATGATACATTTAGGTAGATTAACATGTTTAAAAAATAATTATACAGGAGAATTTTTGTAATAATTTTTAAAAAGGATAATAAAACAAGGAAGAAATGTGACATAAAGACCGAAAAAAATTAAATGAAAATACGAAAAACTTAACAGGGAGACAAATAAAAAGGATTTGTTTTTAGTATGTATGAAATTTCTGTAACATTTTTTATCTATGTTTAATAACTAAAACAATTTGTTGTATTTGTTTCCAACCAATTATCTATGAGCATTTAGTACAAGCTCCTTCGACGTCAAAATCGAGGACCATTAGTTTTGTTTCCTCCGTTCCATTTCGAGATCCAACAGCACATATCAATTTCGTATCATTTGCACTATTATAAAAAAAAAATTCATTAATAATTGAAAATTGTCAAGTGTTATATTTGACGTAAAGACATACCGAATACGCCATACTACTCCTCCGCTTCCACCACTATCCAGAGCAACCAAATTTCTAATGAATTCTCCGGTTTTGACATCCCATAATTTTACTGTTCCATCATCAGAGCTTGTTATAACAAAGCGATTATTAAACTGAAGGCAAGTTACTGCTGAATGGTGCTTATTTCGACCTAATAAAATGATTCAACTATATTATAAGCACATATGAAAAAAAAATAAAAAAAATCCTACCAGCTAATGTAGCTAAACATTGTCCTGTTATAATATCCCACACTTTAACTGTAGAATCTGCATTGCCGCTAACTAGTATGTTGTTCTTAAGTTCCATGCCAGATGTAAGTGATTGATGTCCCATCAGTGTATGACGTAATACACCTGTTTCCGCATCCCACACACGAATGGACGTATCTAATGATCCCGAAACAACGTGAACACCATCAAACTGTGACAAGAAATAATTTTTTATTATCGTAAAGTTTAAAAGTCGAAAACTTTTAATTTTTTTTACCTGAAGTGAGTATACTCGATTTGTGTGACCTTGTAGTGTATGCAAGCATTCTTGTCGTTCTGGATTCCAAACTTTAACTTGATAATCATAAGCGCCTGATACAACTAATTTTCCATCATATTGCACACATCTAACGGCTGCTAAATGTCCAACAAGAATGTGCAAACAAGTTCCATCATTTATATCCCACACACGAAGTGTTGCGTCACGACTGCCGCTAACAACTCTATAAACGGATCCAAGAAATTATGGATTAAAAATATAGAAAAAAAATTTTTGTATGTAAAAAATAGAAGAAAGAAGATTAAGACCATAAGTATTTGCACTTAATCAGCTTTTGCGTCCATCCAATTATAAAGGAATGCAAAGAAAACATTTTAACTTACTTATTTCCATGTAAATGCATGCATCGAACTGTTGATGTGTGTCCGTACAGTGTATGCTTACAAGTGCCAGTTTCTGAATCCCAAACTTTAAGTGTACGATCTGTGCTGCCACTTATTATAAGATTTCCTGACATCTGTGAACTCCACACACCTCCTGTGTGACCTACTAATGTGCGAAGGCACTTTCCCGTCACTGCTGACCATACTTTTAAGGTATTATCATCTGATCCGGAGACAATACGATTACCACTAAATTGAAGACATGTTATAACATGATCATCGTGTCCATTAAGAATTTTTGGAGTCCTAATTGGATTTGTACGCCAATTCATTTCTATCGTATGATGACGCATGTAAGCTGCTTTCCACGGTGATGCTATTTTTGGCATGTTTCCAGTACGTCCACGCTTGGGTCTATCAGGACATGCATCTGATATTATACCCGCATGTTTACACTTTTCTTTCCACAACAGGTTGTCATCAGCTAAGAAGCGCCAGCTGCGACACGTTTGTGCGGCACGAAGTAAATCTTTCGGGTCTAAATATGCAAGTACATGAAGAGCAAGCTCTTTAGGCAACAAGGAAATAAAATCACGTTGAAACTGTGGCTCAATAACTTTCATCATGAATCTAACTTGAGTCGGTTCACATTGCTCAATAAGTTTATCGACAGCAACAAGTCTTTCAGCATTTGACCAACGTTGGAACGTTAAAAGCCAATCCATTAATTCGGGAGGTGGATTTTCCTTTGTCGGTATCAATCGGGGAGTTCTTTTTTCAGCTAAAATACTTGAACTAGATTTGGGAGTGGCAAGATTTTGACTTGATATCGGGGACATTATATTTGTATGTGGTGATGAGATTGTTTCTAACGCTAGTCTTTTACGATTTCCACCAGATGCGATGGGACTTTCGGAAGCCACATGTAGCATTGACTGTTCCGTTAATTTCCGTTTTCGCTGAATTTTAGGCGTTCCATCGCAACCAGTATCTTGAAGATCAGAAATTGGATCTAATTGAGTATAACTTGATAAATCGACATCACGAGAAGGAAGTTCATCTTCACTACTACTACTGGAAGCTCCATACTCTTCATCGGAATCATTTTGACATGTACAAATTTCTTCACAGTCAGATCCACCATCTTCGCAATCAGCCCACGTATCTTCTGGATCTAGATCATCACTCAAATCATGATTTGTATTATCCATATAATCATCGTTTAATTTTAAACATTCTATTGCTTCCTCATCATCCTTGAGAGAATTGTGATGATTAGGACGACGACTTGTACTTCCAGATGAAGTAGATGGCTCATCATCAAAAAGATTAATTTTTACACTTTTGTCAACTATTATACTGGCACTACCACCACTACTTCGCTTGCTGGAATGCTCACTTTGCTCAACTACTTTATCAATACATATTGACTTTGAAGATTCACCATTATCGTAATCAGTCATTGATGAACCAGTGACAGTGACATTTTTTAATATACTTAAATATTTATCAGATAATTTTTGTTTTGCACTTGATGAACGAATTGTACTTTTGTTTCTTATATCGTTTGCATTACAGCGGCTACTTGTTGGTGTCGATGTGAGTTCATTACGAACATTTGTTTCTGACGTCTCAGCTTCCTCATTACTTTTATTAATTTCCTGTGATACGCTTGGCGTTGGATCAATCTCATCACTTTTATTTGCAGATCTTCTAGTATTTAACAAATCAAAATTCAGTCTATCATTATCTTTTACTAGTGAAGATGCACGGATAATTATTCCACCCGTTAATTTTTGTTCATTCTCAAAATCTGAACGTTCAATTGCATCATCAACAATTGATTGCACAAATAAATTGTTACTACTGTTACTAAAGCATAAGCTAATGCACGATGATGTTTCAGCTTTATCGCACAAAAATGGTGGATTTGATGAACTCTCCTCTTCTGTCTCATCATTATCATTTTCTAGAATTGAACTTGATTTACTGCAGCATGCCACATCCAAACATTTTGCTACACTTAATTTCACATTCTCTTCGTCCTCCTCAATATCGTCCACTTCCTCATCGAGTGATGAAAACTCATCACTTAAACGTTTTGGTTTAACATTAGAACTTTCTACATTCGAAACAGTTGTCATCGAGACCGCATGTGATTCCATTGGAGTTTCAATTTGAATCTCACTATCGATAGTTTCTTGTGTAATTGTAATTTCTGTTCCAGTATTTTCATCGTCAAATTGAATCTCATCATCTTCGTTCTCATGCTGATAAAATGTGTCATTTGATGTGATTTTATTGATTGCACATTCATCATCATCAGCCATTGTGTAATTAAGATAAATGTTAAAAGAAATAAATCCTTTTCTTTCCCTTTCCTGTGTTTCTCTTCTTTGCTTTTGTATGGGAAATAAATCTGTTGCTTACTTTTCTTTGATTACTACCGTTTTTACCTTTGGTTCAACTTCTCTCACCCCAAAAAACGATCTAAAAACTGCAAAAAATGCAAGTGAGAAAAACATAAAATATTTTATTATGGATGAGATATTAAGGAAATAAATAAGGATAAGTTATCGTCAGCTATCGTAAAAATAATGATTGAATGATTCTGAAGAGGATATCAAGTTGAAAATTGAAACATTTTAAGGAACGCACTTATAAATATTTTCAACGTGCATAGAACATGTATAAAAAAAATCTTTTTGGCAGTGAATTTTTAAAGGATACATTAAAATGTTTTTAAAACATTTGTCTAAATAGAATTTCAGGGTTAGATAAGATTATTTGGCAGATTGGTATACATTTAGTCGGAAAAAATGAGGACCTAGTCATTAATGAAGTAAAAATCAAAGTTGAAAAAGAAAATAATAATATAAAGTGCACCTTGATTTTACATTAAAGTATCTTAGGGTGACTTTAAGTTTTTTTTCTCGCATTCTTCTTTCCTCCTTTGTAAATATGCATGAACATACACAATTGTGTTCTTCTTCCTTTTTTTCTCATGCATTCCCAATTTCACATGTATGCAACACGAGAGAAAGAAAGAATAAGAAAATGAAAAGAACCTACATCGAGGAATAATGCATACACACAAGAATGTATTGTATGTGCAGTGTCAAGAAGACCAAAGGAAACAGATAGGCATTGAAAATGAAGAAGAAATTAAATCCTGAAAAAACTATTATTCTTCTTTTTATTCTATTCAATTGCAGCAAATCTACCTGAATGTTGGAAGGTAGAAAATCACATTTGCCTTCTTCCCCAAAAAGTGAGTATATAACATAAAAATAAATTTGTTTATGGTATGGCATAATCATCATCATCTCAATTTAATTTTAAAATCATGAGAAAATTTATATCTAAGATGTTACTTTTTTGGGTGTGTGCGGATCCAAAAATCATAGAAAGATATATTTGTATATACTTGAAATTCAGATAAAAGTAAAATAAATAAGAATAAGGAAAAATATTGGGAAATGTATGCATAATTAATGAACTCGAGAGAGATGATTTTTTGTTATGTGTACGAGTTATACAGAGGAGGAATATCTGAGACGAAATAGCTACTTTTTAGGGAGAGTGTGTTTTTATGCATGATAAGAAAAAAAAACCAAATGCTAAAACATTTCACCTCAAAACTAGCCAAAACCTTCAAAAGAATTAATTTTGCAGGGCCTTTGAGTTGTTTGCACTTAAAATTTACTAATATTATGCTTTTAAAGCTTAAAAAATGTCACAAAAATGCACTTTTTGATCACGATTTTTATTTTTTTTACTCACCAAAAAAAGATGCCTAAAATTAATTTTCCTTATTTCAGAACATATTTATTGTAGTTATGTATAATTTGTTCGTGGAAATGCAATAACTTTATAAAGATAAATTGCCAGATAAATTTAAATAAATTAGAAAAAATTGTAAATTGTGAAGATGATTTTTTTTCTATTATGAACGTTTTACATCAATCAGTTATACAAGCATAAGCAGCATATGAGACGGAAAACTATTAATATTCACACTTTTATTGTTGAATTGTTAACAATTTAAATTGGTCACGTTTTCATTTTTAGGAACTTTATAAAGTAGGATAACTTTTTAATATTTCATAGATTCTTTTTATTTTTAAGATAAACTTGTTAAACAAAATGTATAATAGCAAACTCAACTTGCTAAGATCGCTTATAGTAGAGAGACAGTAAAAGTGTGAATATGAACTTGAAACATGAGGGGCCTTCTCAGAGACTTTTTTACTCTGTATTCATTTTATGAGAAAAGTTCCTATCTCATTTTTAAATTCCTCAACTCCGTTATAGATAATTTAAAACTTTAAAAACATTTTGAGGAAAGAAATGTGTTTACCCCCCTTTTTTTCTAAGTTCCACTGGATTTATAGTAGGCAATTAAAATGGATCCCTTCTAAGACATCATCATTCATAACATCATTTAAGAATAAGAGCATGTAGAGGGCTCACCCTTTTTGAGCTGGAGGCACTGTGGCTCAAATTAAAACTGAATCTATTGTACCATACCCTTTAGACCTACAGTTTCTAGTGTCTAATTTTCGAAGCTCTTTTTTCATTTCACCGTTCTAGTTACGAAGCTCGGTTCGTGTGTTGGGTGTAGTTTTGAGGACTTTGGCACAGAATATGCCTCCTTTGCTAGGTATACAAGGATATACTAGCATCTGGATGACTTCCTTACGGCATCTTGCGCACACGAATTGTGACTAGGTACATTGCAGGGTACATCAGGTCTTATGAAGTACTCGTGTCTTTGCAATGTGCAGAGCTTGCAAGTGGTTCGGATCCCACTATAAACTGTAGGTCTAAAGGGTGTGGTACAATAGATTCTGTTCTAATTTGAATCGCAGTGCCTCCAGCTGAAAGGCTGGGCCCTCACACATTATTATTATTATTTCTAGTTGATCCGAACCAACTGCATCATTTAAGGATAACTTGACACTATTTAAGCTAAGAAAGTTTAAATACTGAAAATAAATCATATAAAAATGTAACAAAAATTAAAAAATTCAAATTTTATAAAAAGATTTATTTTATTAGTATCATATAAGGTACTTTAGACAAATTTGTCGAAAAAAAAATTTATTTTTTCAGATAAATGATTTGCAAAAGAAATCAAAAATTAGCATCCATGCCACTTTTCTTGTTAAATTATGACAACGAAATTTAGTTTTAAGACATAACGAAATATACGAGAGTTGAAAAAAAAACATAAATTTTATGTACATGCACGTTTAAGACGCACAGAAAGTCAATGATGAAGGCACTTAAAATGAATGATGATTATAATGAAAGATGGAAATAAAGCTCATCATATCGTATTATTAAAGAAAAACTGTTAAACAAATAGCATTATCTTATTAGCTTATTTCCTTCTTTCAACATAACATCTTCATTATACCGTGCACTACACTTAAACTTTTTGAACAAAAGAACTATTCTTAGGGCGAACAAATTCCGAGCGACAAGGAAGATTACAATAAAATTTATTTTGTGGCACAGAGAGTGAGTAGCTATCGTATGGTCTTGGATCAAATAATGCCCTCTCGATGACTTGTAGTGATGAATGTGTTAAGACTTCTGCTGAGTATTGTGTTGGAATTCCTTCAATATCAGAAATTGCTGCAATATTAATGACAAATTGGATATTAATAATCATCACTTTTTATATTATTAAAGTTATTAGTCTCACTAAATGGAATTGGTGACTTATACAAGGCTTCAGCAGGTACACCAGTGCTATCCAATGTCACAACTGAGACTCCATAAGGTTTTAGTTCATCCCGTAGAGCGCAAGCTGTTCCTTCAACTGAGTTCTTCGAAGCTGAGTATGCAAGTAATCCATCGCCATTGCTGCCAGATCCTAAGAAGATTAATCGACCTCTGTAAATGAATGCAAAATGTCAATTTTATTTGATTGGAATATCATAGTGGAAAACTATACAGTAAGAAAGTGGCATTTTTTTTAAAAAAAAACGTGGTAAAACTCGCATAAATTGATGCTATTAGTTTTTTTTATTTCAAGCGCAAAAAAGTAATAAGTTTTCACCTTGTCGGTCGCAATAAGCCAATGAAAGCACGCGCTACTCTCAAACAACCCAACACATTTTGTTTAAACATGCATTCCCATTCATGTATCTAAAATTTTAATGAAGCAAAAAGAAAATGAGTTCAAAATTATTAATTTTTGCAATTACTTCATTAATGTATATAAATAAACCTCTTGCGAGTCCATGCGTCCGCGAAAAATGCTTCCAGCAGTATTGACAACTGCGAGAATTCCACGTTCACTGGCATTCAAATGTGCACCCATTTTTTCAGTTGCTTCTCTAAGAATATCTTCCTTTGTTACGTCCACTTTTAATGGCACAATTGAACCAATGACAGAATCTGTTTCCATATCTAATGCATTTTCACGTGCTTTCATCCATCCTTTTAATAATTTGGCGGGAAGTGAATCGACAGGATCCTAAATTGGTAATTAAAATTGTAAATAATTTTAATTTCATGAAATAATATTATTTTATTTTACCTTCATTCCAGCAAATACACGGCATCCTTTTGAAGCGAGATAAGTAGAAAGCTGAAGACCAAGAGCAGTGTCAGCAGATGTAATTAATATCGATCCACAGCGTGGATCTAATGTCACATTTCGTGAACCTTTAACCTTGCATAGCAAGTATAACAAAAGAGCTCCAGCAATGGAGAAAAGAGCAACCAGTTGCACGGTTAGCACTAATGCAGTATGAACTTCCATTATTAGAACCGCTTTACATCTGGGAAATAATTAAAAAACTTTACATTGTCTTGCACTGAATTTTTGTTAATTAATTTTTTCTCATTATTTACTACGACTGTAGAGTCATGTGATGATGGAATGTTGAATGTATTTTAAAGAAAATAGATGACAGCGTTTTGTTTTTGCCACGAGCCATCTCATGCATTCATGAAATCGTTTTTAATATTATTATTACTTTTCCATGATAATATCTTCCGAAGAGTGGCTTATTATTGTATGGATAGAAATAAGAAAACATGCGGCTGTTACATAAAATCACTGAACCATGATTTGCACACCAAATGGAATTACGATTTTTTTTGTCTTCTTTTCTTCGACTTTTTTATGATGGTTCTATTTTCGCGCTTTCAATGTCAGCAACAGGTTAAAAATGAAACTGAATTCGTGAAGTAATTCTTGTTTTCATTTTCAGTTGAAATTTAGTGGAATTATGTTTATTTAATGGGTTGTCATATTGACTGTTTGATTGACCGAATGTTTATTTATAAAGCTTTAAATTGAATAAAATTACAATTCTGAACTCTTAATGAAACTAGTGTATCGGGTAGAAACCCAATGCGGATATATTCACACCGTACCATCAAAAGTCTTATGGATAGACCAAGATTTGCTCAGCATAAGTTTGAAGGGTGGGCATGATAAATCCTTGAAGAAAAAAGTGACAAAATTGATTATGACTAGGGTCGCCCCTAGTCCAAAATTGAAAATGTATTTCCTACTTAGTTCTTTGCTCAAAAAAATTTTAAGATGTTTTTTTTTGTATTTGTTTTAAGCACTAGAATATTTATGCAAAGTTTCAATTCATTTGTATAAACCCTCGAATAAAAAAGTGACAAAATTGAATTTGACTAGGGTCGCCCCTAGTCCAAAATTGAAAATGTATTTCCTACTTAGTTCTTTGCTCAAAAAAATTTTAAGATGTTTTTTTGTATTTGTTTTAAGCACTAGAATATTTATGCAAAGTTTCAATTCATTTGTATAAACCCTCGAAGAAAAAAGTGACAAAATTTAATTTGACTAGGGCCGCCCCTAGTAGGGTTTGGGGAATCTGTTAACAGAAAACAGAAAAACAGCTGTTTTTCGACAAAAATCTGTCAACAGAAAACAGGTCTCAAAAACAGATCCGGTTTCTGTTTTTCATTTTTACATAAAATTTACAGAAAAAAAAATTTCTTAATTTTTTGAAGAACTTAATATATTTTTCTAGCATTTCAAATTGAAATGTATTTACTATTTTAATATTTTTTCGATGTTTAATAGGTTTGAAATCATTATCAAATTTATGGTTAATCATTATTAATTTTGCAATCGAAATTTTAAATTTGTTGAACCTTTTGTAGCATTTGTTAAAGTTCAAAAATATAATCAACAATTTTACAAGATATTTTTTTATTCAGAAAGATTTTTTGAAATTTCAAATAAAATATTAGAGTTTATGGATCTTTTACAATGCAACAGTGTTGCAAATGTAGATGTCTACACTAGATGAAGAATGTAGATTCTTCAATAGTTTTTGTCTAGCTAAGAAACTTTCTTCATAAAATCGATTCTACATGTAGAAAGAAATAAACCATCTACATGTAGATTGTGTCTACATGTAGAATCTGTCTACATGTAGATTTAATGTAGATGTCTATAATTCTACATTTTTTCCAGGTCTACATCAGAGAAGAATGTAGAATCGTAGACATCTACATTAAATCTACATGTAGACAGATTCTACATGTAGACACAATCTACATGTAGATGGTTTATTTCTTTCTACATGTAGAATCGATTTTATGAAGAAATTTCTGTCTCAGAATTTATCTGATCCAGACAAATAGCCAGAATGCAACACTGCAATGCAACAATGCAATGTTACTTAAAGGTATAAATTTTTTTGGATTTTTTTTTTGCATTTTTATATTTCATTATATTTTTTAGAGTTAATTAACATAAAAAAATAAGAAATAATAATGCTTAGCTCTAAAATGTATGCTTAACGGCTTATAACTACCAAAAAGTTTCATTATCTTAGAGAAATACTTAGGATAACTCAGTTTATTTTGAATTCTAGAAAAACAGAAAAACAGCTGTTTTTAAAATTCAAAAACCGAAAACAGACTGTTTTTCAAAAACAGCTGTTTTCCACAAACCCAAGCCCCTAGTCCAAAATTGAAAATGTATTTCCTTCTTGGTTCTTTGCTCAAAAAAATTTTTTTTATCCAAAGTTTAATTTAAAATAAAAAAAAATCACAGTGAACTTTTAATTTGAAAAATTCGTAAGAAAGGAAAGTTTTTTGCTTTTTCTGAATCAACGGCTGTTCCTACCTTGCCCAAAAACAATACAGCTCTTCTATAGAGCAGCACGGATCAAATGTAAAAAACTAGAAGTCTCTACGATGTCTCGTTATTGAGATTTCTTGCTGATTAACTTGCTTGTTTGCTTGTTTGCTTGCTTACAGAAAGCATATTTTGCGATTTTCTCAGCAATGCCGCAACCAATTTGAAATCTGTTTTTTTGCAAAAGATGTGAAATTCAAGGCACAAACTTTTCATCTCTGAACATTTTAAGCTATCTTGCTCCATATCCTCACAAAATTCTAAAAACTGATTTTTCAATCTGAACAAAACCAATAGCTTCACACGTGAAAACGGTGAATATAAAAAAATACCAGCGTTTCAATCAAGTGCACTGAACTGCTTTGTCCAACAACTTGCTCCTTACAATTGTCTTGAGGTGATCTTTTCAACAAGTTATTTCCACATCATTTTAAACAAGTATGGCAAGTGTCTTTTTCATTTGCATGCTAAAAAATAACAAAACATTTTTTTCACAATTGCAATTGGCTATGCTTGGAAGCTATTGAATTCAATTCTCATGAATATTTTGGGCAGGTCACGAATTTCTATAAGGATTATGATTAAAATGAGAAGTCAGACATACTGTTGCAGGGGCGTAGCCAGAAAATTTTTGAAGGGGGGGCCCATTTTTGAAAATTAAAAAACCGTTATTTTGTATTCTTAAATCTATATTCATTCTTCATAAGTTTAAATATTTAATTCATTATTCATACATTAAATTTAATTTTTCGTGCTGATTTTGACATTTCTTTCATCACTTCCTCTACATTAACTGGTTCTTCTCTATAAATACTTAATAAAACAATTATCAGATTTTCGTAGGGGGGGCCCGGGCCCCCTATGGCCCCCCCCTGGCTACGCCCCTGTACTGTTGAAGTATTGAATTATTGAATCAACAAATGGAATAAAGATATTTTCATAACGCCAATAATAACTTCGGTTTTTTTCTCATTCAGTCAAATAGAAAAAAATTGATTATTGTTTGCAGTAAAATAAAAAAGTAAACTCATTGTTTAAGAAAAGAAATAATGCACTGCTTCAACCTCACTATCGATTAATCGTTTTAAAAAGATGATAATGAAATTTTCAGCTGGGCATCAATTTAAATAATTTTAACAGACATTATCTTGCAATAAGATTTTTAATTAATGTTGTTTTATTATGAACTATTTTATAATTTAATAACATGTATTAAAAGGTTATGTATCAAGTCGAGTGACCTTAAAATCCGGATGGTTAAAAATCGATGTTCTTTTTTGAGTTTTCAAGTACAACGCCTCATGTTTCTTCAAGTATGACATTCTTATCTTAACTTTTATATGCCTTTTGATGTTATTTTAATATTGTCTGATGTTTTATAGAGTCCTTTCGTGATGAAATTGCTGGTCAAAAAACGAAAGCATTAAATTCATAGCAATTAAATAATTAATTAATGCAAAAGAGATTTAAAGCTCATTTTTATTTAACTTGAGACGTCATTTGTTAATAACTGACATCATGAAACAACAGATAAATTTTAAAATTCTAATTTACTAAAATTACCAAGCTTAATTTTGATTGTCTTTGATCAAATCGAACTCAAATCGACTCATGATCAATAATTGACTTTTTTAATTAATGCGAAACTGATTTTTCGAAGAAAACAGCATTTCTTCTTCTTTATGCAGCTTCATGCTTGCTCATTTTAATGATTTTTTATGTTATTTCCATGTCATTTTTTTAAATTTGGAGTAGATGACTTAATTAAACAAATTGAAAAATTATAAAATTTCAACAAAATCTTCTTCGTTTAAAATTAAATTTTTGCTCTATAAATTATGCAACTATTTATTATAAGACAACATTATAAGATTTAATTCATTCTTTTAGCTTCAGCATTTGGCATAATTTAAAGAAACAAAATAGTTTTTTTTTGTGAATTTAATTTCAAAGATTAAAACAGTAAAAAAACCTTTCATGTATAAAATTACAATAATGGTATTACAGACATCATTTGTTTCATTATTGATGTAAGATCCCGATACTTGTTTGTTTTTCTTCTTTAATAGTGTAAATGTTATTTGAGTGATTTTCAATTAAATTATAAAATTGATCTTTTTCCGCAATATTTTTGTCTATCTGTCACTCAATTTGAAAGGCTTTGGGTAAGTAAAATAGTCGAAGATTGGAATAGCATGGGTTGCAAATTTAAAAATTAGATTCATCACACTTGTTACTGTCCAAAAAGTATTACAAAATCTGACAAAAGAAACAGCTGCTTGATGCGATTAAATTGCTAAACTGACGATAAAATTTCTCAGTATTTGAAGTTATGATATTATTGAAGATTTATTCGGTCAAAAGTGTTAGGTGCAATATTTTGATCTATAACTTATTGACAGAAAGTTAATAAAACTAATATTTTCATTATTAGAGCTGTATCTCTTTTCACAAAAAAATTAATGATGTTTTTGAAATATATGTGAAAAATTTCTTCGGAAAAAAGCTCACAGTTTTTGCAATATGAAATTGTTAAATAAATCATATTGCAGTACGTATGTTAACCTCATTTTAATGTTTAATTTCACCTTCAATTTGGCCATTAGTCTTTAAGTACGATTGCTTTTTTGAGCTTCAATTTAATATTATTTTATTTAATACTTGTGCAGGTTTCTGATTGAAATCCGATGCTAGCGTTTCACCAACGAATGCATATTTGTTGCGCATCCTACTTAAAAATTTAATTTTATCATAATAGCGTGGAAGCACACATACAAGCACTTTAAAGTAAATATTTTTCGAAAGCTGTAAAATACATATCAAACCACCTTAACACTCCAATTTTCTCTGCAGTTTTATAATGACCAAATGATGTAAGCAATTAAAGAGTTAATTAATGGAATATTTTCTACAAAATAAATTCAGAGATTGAATTTCAAATAATTTTTTATGGAACTTCTTGACTTTTCTGGTTTAAACATAATTTTGTTATATTTCCAAATTTTATGCTATTAAAATTAAATATATTTTAGCACATTTCAACAATTCTATTTCTGAACTAAAGTATACTTGTTAAGTTTAAAAGAAATTTTATTGTAAATGAAAGTAGTAATTAATAAACCTGTGTTAAACAAACTTTATTTAT